TAAAACTTTTCATGGGAAGTGGATCAGTGGGCCCCAGTGATGCCAATTCCAGTTAACTGCCTGTGTCTGTTAAGTGAGAGAGAAACGAGGTGAATGAATGAGTTAAGGCTGTTATTTCTCTCTACCACTTGGAATTTCCAGAATTATGCTGCTTTGATCAAATCAAGCCTTGAAAAACAAGACAAAACAAGTTTAAAAAATATACTCCTCCAGTCCTTAATGTAGAACCCAATTCTTGAGTTACTTTTGGTTCTAAATATAAGACCCCTTTATCATATTTATCAATTTTCTCTAAATTACCCCTATGAATACTCCCTCAATCATAATCAAGTAAAGAGGGAGATGGGGTATTAAGAAAGATGATTATGGTGTTTTAGGAAAATGTGTCACTTTTCTTATAATTAACTAATTTACCTAACTTCCTTAATATAATCAAATTAGTTAAATGGGTCTTATATTAAGGACCAGAGGAGTATTTAATTACTTCTTATATTTAAAAATAAATATAAGTTATTGATAATTTAATAAATACTCCTCCGATCCTTAATATAAGACCTATTTAACTAATTTGATTAGATTAATGGAGTTAGGTAAGTTAGTAATTATATGAAATGTGACATGTTTTTTCTAAAACACCATAATCATCTTTCTTAATACCCTTTCTCCCTCTTCTACTTGATTATGGTTGAAAGAGTATCCATAAAGGTAATTTAGAAAAAATTGATAAATATGAGAAATGGGTCTTATATTTAGGACTAAAACCAACTCAACAATTAGATCCTATGTTAAGGAGCGGGGAGTATTTTGACAAATTATAGAGTCATATGATTATCTTCTATTTTTTCTTCTTAAATTGTTCTGATCCCGCCAAACCAAAAAAAAAAAAGAAGAAGAAAAATCTATTCCATTTCATCAAATTTTCTTTTATATTTATTTTTATTTCCATTTCCATTCTAACGACCGAACAGTACCCAATTCATGCATGTGCGAAATCAAGATAGTTGCCATTGTAGTACCTACTCTTTTTTTAAAAAAAAAATTAAAAATGCAAACAAATTTTTCTCCAAAAAAAATGCCAAAGAAATAAGCCATCCTTTTGTTTTTTCTTCAGAAAAAGAAAATGTTTGATGTGACCGCTTCTTGCGGCACGCCATTTTTCAAAATAGACCTGAAAGTGATTTATAAACTTGTTTAGCTAATCCTTCGGCAATTGGCAACCAACTTGCAATAGTATCTCCAAATTCGCTTTGCCTCTTTATCCTTCTCAGTACTGCTCTCTCCAATATTAAATTGTAATTTGAACAATCCAAACTTAATAATTTTAAAAATTATTTTTCAAATATTTTTTGTGGGAGTTTTAAACTACCATAGTTAGTAGCTTTGAATTTATTTATGGATAATACTTATATAAGTTCCTTATATTCATTATGTCAAATTCTTCAATAACCATGTTTTTCATTTTTAAAATATTAATAAAATTAATAGCATTTAATTATAAACTCATATGAAATAAAAAATAATACATGGTCACATATAATTGGATAGCTTGATATATGGATATAAGAAATTTGACCTAGATTTTCTCCTTTATTTATTTATCTTTTTTTAAAAATTTTATTATTTTATTTGTATTTTTTAAAAATATTAAATTTAGACCATTTAAGTTATAATCCAACGGTGGAGATGGACAATGGAGAGGAAGCAGACGGAAATGAGCAAAGGAGAGAAGCCAATATCCCAGCATCATATATATATATATATACTCCTCCGGTCCTTATTATAAGACTCAATTTGACTTTTTATTTGGTCCTAATTATAAGACCCAATCCATTTTCTCTCTTATATTTATGCATTTTTTTCCAAAATAATTCTTCTAATAATGATAGTTTTAGCCAATATACTTAATTAGCAAAGATATTTTAGGAATAACAACACTTATTTATAATAAATAACCAACTTAACTTACTTCCTTAATCTCCTCAAATAAGTCAATTGGGTTTTATAATTAGGACCGGAGGAGTATATATATATGCATATATGTACATACAGACACACACATCTCTGGTAATGTTTTGATTACCTTATTTTCATCTTTTATTTGAGAAAGAAACTCACGCACTTATTATATGCGTAAAAGGTCAAACTCACAATCTTATATCTAATAATAAAAGATGTTTAAGGAATATACTTAATGTCACTGAATCAGATTTAATGTCAAATTTCAAAAATTCAAAAATCAATTCATTACCTTTTATTATTTGGGTTCCCTTCAATCAAGGCATTTTTAACTTTGGTTTTCTGTAGATTTAATTTTTTTATAATTTGGGCCCGTAATTTCTGCTTCACAAAGAAAATCATTATAGGTAAAGTGCAAGCAGACTGAAAATTATTCAGGCTTGAGAGATATTTATCAATGATATATAATTTTATTTGTCAGGCCCTAAATTAAAATATAACTCTACGAATGAACAAAACAGGGAGTTTCACTTCTTAATAGTTGTGGTTGTTGTGATGAGATAATTAATTTGCTTGTGGATTAGTTAGTTGACTGTAGTTAATTTGTAAATGTAATTCCAGATTTCCAACAACCATGTGGCCGCCAGGAAATTAAAGTCAAATAAGGAAATATTATAAAAGTAAGTGATGTAATTAAGGAAAAGCAAATGTCTTAATTAAATAGATTTAAGCTTCTATTTCATAAAATTTAATGTAAAACAATCAAAATCTAAAGCTAAACCTGATTAATGAGTGGTTATTCACTTAAAAAAAAAATCTTTCTTTCTCACTTATTTATTTTACTTGAGCGAAAAGTATTTTAAGCATCAAGTATTGTAAATTAATATTATTGTTATTATCCTAGATTTACTATATAAACATATGTTGAAAAACTTACGGAATCGGAACGATCGTCGATCTCTTAAGTATCAAAAGAATATAGAATACTCCTTCAATCCTTAATATAAGATCCATTTAACTAATTTGATTAGATTAAGAAAGTTAAGTAAATTAGTTAATTATAAGAAATGTGACATATTTTTCCTAAAACATCATAATCAACTTTCTTAATACCATCTTTCTTTTTTCTACTTAATTATGGTTGAGGGAGCATCCATAGGAGTAATTTAGAGAATTGATAATATGAGAAATGGGTCTTATATTTGGACCAAAACCAACTCAACAATTGGATCCTATATTAAGGACCGGAGGAGTATTAGTTAGAGAAATATTTGATGTATCTTGTATGAAACGAAAGCACAAAATTTCCAATTTGCAAGGAGCGATCCAAAATAATCTGAACCAGAAGGGATGCTTCCCAGATCAGACAAGTTAAGTTGGCTTTGAGAGGCCGAAATAAATGACTTCAGTCACTACTTATTAATAATACAATTAATTAATTATTTTCGAAAGTAATGGTGTTTTAAGTTAATTTATATTAATTTCTTCATATAACTTTACTTAGGACATGTCAAATAAAATTGATTATATCTATATGTGTGATCCCAATCATTTTTATTCAAGAGTGACAACTCCATGCAATATGATTAAAGGAACATGCAAAAATATCTAAGGGGATTAACATGCATTTTCAAGAATTGAAAAATTACAAACATTTACTCTCTCTCTCTCTATACATATATATATATATATATATATATATATATATATAAACTAAAAGAGCCATATACATTATGGTACCTATATCTTGACAATGGGGTAAAAATGATAGCTAATCTAAATGAATCATAATTGGTCAAGAAAATGAAAGTACCCTCATAAATGGCATTCGATGGGAGAGCCATCGTCTTTGAGTTTTTGGCACAACCTAGAATGTTGTGGGTTGGTGACCCTTCATGCTTACTGGGTCCCCACCTTCAAGCACCTTAATTCATATTTAACCCTAAGTATAATTATTATTGTCTCCCTTTAATTCCAAAGATTATTTAAATTATTAATTATCTTTGGCAGCAAAATATTATCTTGCTTATACTACCTCCGATCCTTAATATAATACCCTGTTTGACTTTTATTTTGGTCCTAAATATAAGACGCCAATCTATTTTGTCTCTCATATTTATACATTTTTTTTCAAAGTAACCCTTCTAACAATAATAGTTCTAGTCAATACATCTGATTAGTAAGGATATTTTAGGAAAGATAACATCTATTTAGAACAAATAACTAACTCAAATTAGTCAACTGGCTCTTATAATTAGGACTGGAGGTAGTATTATCAGTTTTTCGCACGGCTTAAGCAAATATTCTTCTATGAAATGGTTGTAGAGTATTGTGAATTATAAATACATGTTATGCTTATATTATACATTAGATCTTATATGTTAAGGATCGAAAATAACAATTGTTCTGTGTCTGCTTCGAAAATTTTTGTTACCCAAAATTATAAAGTAATAGTGGAGACAAGGCACGAATCTTATTCAAATTTACACTCAACATATGAAACTTGGTCAGGAATAATAGATAAAGAGCAAAAATAGTAAAATGCAGGAAGTCAGGTTGGCGGCACTTAAATTTCCTGCCAATGAAACCTAACCCATTTGAGTAAAATACTAAAATTGACTCTACTTTAAAAAAAAAAAAAAATTGGCATTAGTGTAAAACTTCAGTCACATGTGTTGATTTTAATGGAAGTTGTTTTGACTGTTTAAATATAAGAGTTCGAGTTTGAATATGTTGAACGCAGAAAATGTCTTTAAAACAATTATCATATTAAAACACATAATGCTCAAATCTAATTCAATTTGATACCTATAGCTAAAGGAAAAAGCAGAAAATTTTTGGCATGAAAGTAAATAACAAAATGCCGTGAGGCAAAATAAGAAATATTGCAAACAGGAAAAATCATGTGATGTTGGTAAAGTAAATTTTATAGTAAAGTAGTCAAGTCAACTTTGCTTTACGCTCTCATCTCCATCCCCATCCCCATCTTCGGCCTTGTCTTCTTCTTCCTTCTCCTCTCTATATATTCTGTAACTCTCCCCTTCCCTCATTTTCCCAAGCCCCTTCCCGACTAGCTGCCATCACCACCACCACCAACCATGGAGTTGCAGGTGGCCCCGCCTATGCCTCCGGCTGACTTCATCTTCGACAGCACCTGCTCCTCCCCTTCCAGCCCCCGCCGCCTCCCCAACCTCTTCTTCAGCGCCCCCGCCAGTCCTACACCTACGGTCTTCCCTGATGCCGCCGCTGCTGGTGATATTCAAGACTTCGAGTTTGATTTCAGTGGCCATTTACAGAGGACTTCTCTCTCTGCCGACGAACTCTTCGACGGCGGCAAGATTCGCCCCTTGAAGCCTCCACCGTCGCCCCGGTTGAAGTCTGAGGAGGGGCTCCATTCATCTTCCTCGACCAGGTCCAAGGGAAAGAAAATCATTCAGGATCGAAGAGATTTTGGTTCTGACTCGTTTGAGAAAACCAGAAAACTGGAAGACCGAGTAGAACAAGAGCAACAAAAGCGAGGGAGATCAGGAAGGGCTTCTTCGTTCTCATATTCGTCGGAGAATTCAGGGCGTAAAGGAAGCAGATCGGCGCCTCCTTTCAGAATCTCCGACGCAGACGACGTCTCCGATCAGGACTTGTCCCAAGCCAAGGCAACTTCTTCTTCAACAAGCAACACGAAATCATCGCACGCTTCCTTCTTGTCATCACTTTCGTTCTCAAAAGGGTACAGAAAATGGAGAATAAAAGATTTTCTACTGTTCCGGAGTGCATCGGAGGGACGCGCCGCCGGTAAAGACCCATTAACGAAGTACGCGGTTCTGTCAAAGAAAGCGGAAGAGGAAGTAAGGAACAGCAGTTTCCGGTCGACGGAGAGCTTGGGTTCGGTGTCATCAAGACGGAGAGGAGCGGTTTCACCCCATGAGTTGCATTACACAGTGAACCGGGCGGCTTCGGAAGAGATGAAGAAGAAGACGGTGCTGCCTTACAAGCAGCTCGGACCTTTAGGATGCCTGGGATTCAATCCTAGTCTCCATCGGATCATCAACTAGCCAAATTGCCGCCTCCTTCACACGTTTATATATATATATATGATCCCCATTTCTTGTTTCACAAAACTACCAATGTTCCTGATCTTCTCCTCCTTCTTGATTTTGGTTGGAAAAAAAAAAAAGATTTTGATTAAGTAACGTGGTAGCGTGTTCTTTCATCTTGTCTCTGTTTCGTTGTATGGAAATAATTATAACATATATATATATATATATATATATATACTCCTCCGGTCTTTATTATAAGACCCAATTTGACTTTTTATTTAGTCCTAATTATAAGACCCAATCCATTTTGTCTTTTATATTTATGCATTTTTTTTCCAAGATAATCCTTCTAATAATGATAGTTTTAGCCAATATACTTAATTAGCAAGGATATTTTAGGAATGACAACACTTATTTATTATAAATAACCAACTTAACTTACTTCCTTAATCTCCTCAAATAAATCAATTGGGTCTTATAATTAGGACCGGAGGAGTATATATTTGCACGCAAGACATGCACAAGAGATTCAGGTAACTAATTTTGGTTTTTTTAATAAATTATGATTAGGATAGAGTAGCATTTGGATGACCGAATTGTCGTTAACTTATTTTTTGAAAAGCGTGTTGTACCATAGGTTAGAGGTGTGTATATGTATACAGAGTTACACACACATACATGTGTGTGTGTATTCAGTTAATCACAGATATAGCATACAGATTTTAATGCTTACAATGAACTTTTTTTTTTTTGGTTTAAAAAAAAAAAAACACTGATGGAGAGATTAAAGCTTATGTTCATTTTCATTTGCGTGATGGAGCAGTGAGCAGCGCGGACTCTTTTTTTTTTTTTAATTTTTGAGACTGCTATTTTTCTTTCTTCCTTTTTTTTTTTTGGGGTAAAAAGGCAGCTATGTTTCATTTTATACCCCATAGGTGATGCATCATGATATTATTTTTTTTTTATGGAAGATCCTAACTCGTAAAAACTTAAAAGAAGTGTTTAATATCATTGAATTAATGGAACGTAACCCCACGCAACTATATTCCTAAATATGAGATATTATATTATATTATTTTTCAGATGGATTGTTAATTTATACTGCCTCTTGTGGTTAATATAAGATTTAAAATAAGAATTAATTAACTGATTTAAGTATATTAAAAAAATTAGTTAAATTAGTTCCTGGACACAAATAAAAGTTGATTTTTTCAAAATACTCTTTTTAATTATGATTACCTTTTAATGGAAAACTCTTGACATACGTAATCAGTAGGAACATTTTAGATAGTAAAATACAAATTTAGAGGGGAGCAAAATGTAGAAATGTATTATATTTTGGATTAAATCAAATTTTTGATAAGCTATTTATTATAATATAGTGTGCGTGCCACCCGCCTAGGCCACAACACGGCCCCGAGTATAGATGATTTATAGCGTGTTATAGATACGCTTCAGAGAAACCAGACTTCTAATTAAGTAGGCAATAGAGACCTCTTGTCCTACCTAATCTAGTAATAACTACTAACAAAGAAAAGATAATTTAAGGCATGTTATATATATATATATATATATAAATATATATAGGCTGTAAGATTATATTCTAATTTTGATTTTTTTGTATGAATTAACTTTTCTAAAACATACTACCTCTGGTTCTTAATATAAGACTCTATTTAACTTTTATTTTGGTCCTAAATATAAGACCCCAATCTAATTTGTTTCTCATATTTAGTATATATTTTTTTTCAAAGTACTCCTTCTAACAATGATAGTTCTAGTCAATACACTTGATTAGTAAGGATATTTTAGGAAAAACAACACCTATTTAAGACAAATAACTAACTCAATTTACTTCTTTAATCTGTTCAAATTAGTCAACTGGCTCTTATAATTAGGATCGGAGGTAGTATTAAAAAAGATGATTTGGTCATATCTACTCAAACCATATATATGTGATATAATTAACACGGGACATGATGGATCGGAGGAAGACACGTGTTAAGAAGAGGAACAAAATATTAATTTACTAATTAATCAAACAAATGACAACAAACCTTTTTAAAAGTAACCGAGACCCCAAACTGTTGGGACTACACAAGATAAAAATCTGTGCTAAAATCTTTCTGAAATGAAATATGAAAATTATAAAACAATATTAATAAAGCTACAAACAAACAAACAAAGACATATGATAATTAAAAGAAGTAGGGACGAGGGAGGGGGCATGCATGCATATTAAAGCTGAGCCTATCCTCTATCTCTTAAGGCCTTTATGTAAAGCCTACTTGTGTCGATTCAATGAGAGACCCTTTTGAAACTATGTAATAATCATGTTGCTTTCCTTTTTCTCTCTGCCCCCTTTTTCCCCATTTATGTTCTTTAAACATTACACACAACTCCATATTAATTAAACTGAAAAAACTATTCATTATATATTGTCGTTTATGTTAGTGATAATTAAAAAATTTTAATCCTAAATTTCTTTTAGGAAATCACATGCATATATGATAAGGTTACTCTTTCTGAAATTTGAAAATAATATAATAGTACTAATAATGCTACAAGCAAACAAAAACACATGGAAAAGGAAGTAGGGACTAGAGAGGAGGCATGCGTGCAAATTAAAGGTAACCCCGCCCTTTAAATCCAAGGCTTTATGTTAAAGGCAACTTGTGTCGATTCAACAAGAGACCCTTTGCAAACTACTCCATATATTTCTTAATTAACATTATAATTAAAATTCTATCTTCTTAATTTCATTGATAAATATGAATGAAAAAGGTAAAATAATTATATATAGCACGTGAAAAATTATAGAAATTATCTTGACAAAATATTGTTGGTATTTTTAAGAAGCATCAATATTAATTTATTTTTGTAATTGTTTTTGCTGTCTTTAATATCCATTAGTCATTGTTTTTTTTTTATATATATATAATGATGATATGGCACGAGAGGAGCAAAAAAATTAAAGAAAATGGTGCTATTATGCACCATAGGAAAATGTGTGCAAAGTGTTGTGCGTGTATTGGCTATATATAGCTTGTGTTTGATGATAAATGCGGTCGCAAGCCATTGATTTTGTTGGTAAATAATGACTAAAGTAAGAGTAGAATAAAGTGACATATTAAAATAAAACATCGACCGACACATGCAAGGGTATGGATTGGAAAAACATGATTAAAGCGAGTTGATCTATCTGTATGGACAATGGTTGTCCCATGGATATGGAATTGAAGTGTTTCTTAATTAGTCTTCATATATAACAACTTTAATTAGCAGTAACAAATAAAATTACTATAAATTGTAAAGTCATCATGCGAAGGCAAATACTATGATCTTAATATAATTATAGCTTTTGAAGTGCCTAATTAGTAATGTACCAAAAAGGGGGGAAAAAGTAATTAACATAAAACATATGGAACTGGTTTGGGCACCCAAAGCTCATCTTTTATAGACTATTTAGATTTGATTTAGACGGTACAGATTTAATATTTTAATTAATTATTTTTTTAAAATTTTGTAGTTAAAAATAAAACAATTAAATATAAATTGTCCATATCAGATTTAGATAGTCCAAATAGAATGATTAGCTAGAGAAGGAAACGCCGGAGTGGTTATGAACAAGATTACGTTAATAAATTGAATTTGGATGATTATTACTTCATATGAGATTGGCTTGCACGCCTTTGACTGCCTTTTTTTTGGGCTGTTGATTTGAAAAAGATTAAAATTTGGAGTAAGAAGCTAGATTGCATTCAAAGACAAAAAGTGTAATTTGCATTGAGAGTGGGTGGCATTTGGAACAAATCAATCATTGTTAATTATTTAAAAATTAAAAGTGCTTTAATCAAACAACCCAACTCTCTATTTTGTTCGGTATCCACCCAGATATATAAAGTAACATTAAAATAAAACAACCATACAGATGAACTCGCTTTTGCCTCTTTATAGTTTATGCCTTGCCCAACAATAGAGTTGTTAGCCAGGGCTAATGAATTTGGAAAATGTATAATATATTCATTCTTAATTAATTTCATTAATTAGCCAGAGCTAGAAGAAATATATCTCTGAACTCCTTTAGTAATTAACATCACGCTTTTTTTAATTAACAAAATGACACTTTTAATAACTCTTTAATAGAGAAATAGTTTTTTTTCCCCCAAAAAATGAAGAGAAATAGCTAGTACATTCTTATGGTTCTGAAAATCTTAATGATATTAATGCCAAATTGCCGAGTTCCTTCGGATTTTACATCATCATAGTTCTTAGTTTATATTATATCTAGTCCTAATTATAAGATTTTGTTTGTAATCTAAAAACGAGGTCTTATAATTAGGACTGGAGATAGTATTAAACATGTAGTCTTATGTTGTTGGGTTTTGCTTAATCGTTTTTTCCCCCTATTTGTGTCTGTAGATTTTCGGATACTTTTTTATTGAGTGGAGGCTAATTTAAAAAATATACTCTCTTTCTCTGTTTTGGGAGGAATATTTTTCTGAAAAAAATAATACACACTACCTCTGGTTCTAAATATATGATCTACTATATAGTACAAAATAGATCATATATTTAGAATCCGAGATAGTATTATTATTTTTTACACGTACACAATAGTAAATAATCAACTAATTGTTTTTTAACATGTGAAAATTATTAGTTAACTAAATTTTATTTTTAAAATGGGAGTACAAACAACCTGATTAATGTTATACCAACAGTAATCATGTGAATTTGTGATAAAAATCCTCCCTTGCTAAACATTTTAATACGAGTTGGTTTTTTTTTTTTTTTTACCAATTGAAATTTATTGATGAATATCTGTGAGAATACGCAAGGAGGATGGTGAGGCGCATGGGCATGTGAGCGGGAGGGGACAAGTGTCAGCATCAGCCGAAGTAATCTTTTTTTTGGTACAAATCAGCCGAAGTAATTGACTTTGTCAAAGTCAAACGGTGGCTCCGTCACTGCACCAGCCTGTTCTTCTCCGTCAACAAAACAGTGCGCTTCTTTTTATTTTTAATTATTTGGTTTATTTTTTAAAAAAATACTCTCTCCGTTTCTTATTATAAGAGACAAATAACCGAAATACGTTGATAAAAAAACAGTTAAAATTAGTTAAGAACAATTAATGTGTAAAAAGTATAATTTTTTTTTCAAAAATACCCTCATTAATAAGGAGAGAGAGTATGAGAGAGAACAATTAAATTATTAAAAGAAAGAGAAGTGGGAGGGAGAGAGAGTGTGAGTTGGAAATAATAAATATGGGTAAAATAGTAAATCAACACAAAAAAGTAGAGACAACTTGTAAGTGTCTCTTATATATAGGAACATGCCATAAGCATCAAATGTCTCTTATAATAAGGAACGGAGGGAGTAATGTGTTTCCATCCTGGCAATATAAAAGTTTGGATATGCTACTTTCTATATTATTTCATTTTAACCTACCCACTAATTTATTAAAAAATGAAACATAACATGGGAACATTTTCAGAATTAATTAACGCGGATTTTTTTAGAATTAATTACTATACTCCCTCTGGTCTTTATTTTAGGGTTTTGGTTTAGTTTTAAATATAAGGTCTCATTTTCTCTTTTCTTAATATATTAAATAGTAACGTCTTTACATTGCACAAAGTAAAAGGAAAAAGGACATAACATTGTTATAAATTTATGAAACTAAACTATTTAAGATATTAAAATATTTCTCTCTTGATGGACTAAATTCAAAAATTTCCTTAAAGATGAATGAAAAAGATAATCCATGAATTACTAAATTGGAATGTTAGATAGGAATATCAATATATTCCTCTGGTCTTTAATATAGAATATAACTATTGAGTTAATTTTAATCCTAAATATAAGACTTATTTTTATATTTATCAATTTTTTTTAAATCATCCCTATTGATGCTCCTTCAAATAGGAGAGAGAGTGATGATATTAACAAAGATGATTATGGTGCTTTAATAAATCTTATATTTGTTATAATTAATTAATATATCTAACTTTTTAAATCTAATTAAATAATTAAATAGGTTTTATATCAAGAATAAGAAGAGTATAAAATATTAAAAAATACAAATAATTAAGCATTTCGATTGGGCTAGCAGCAAGGCCCAGTCTTACAAATCCATACATATATGCATACAATCACGGGCCCTGCAAAATCATCGGGCCTGCCAGCTCCTTTTTGGGGCCTCGAAGTACGGACATATTAATCACAATCAATTTCCCTGCTTTGCGGGGGAAGGGGAGCGTGCACTCAATTTAAAACATTAAAATACATACTCGTTCATTGACGCATCTATCTCAACATCATACAAAGAGGCTCATAAACGCTATCTCTGGGCCTATTTATAAGAACAAATGAATAGGCTGAAAAGGCAGTACTTAAAAACCAGACCTTTTGACATGCCAGACTCTTTAAAGACAAAATGTGAATGATATTCTAATGTGAATGCATCCTGATATTCTTCAGAAAATAACACCACTCCCCTCCACCTTCATGTGGCCCTGTTTATCAGCTATGAAAAGTCCTCCTGGAAGAAGAAACCCCTCATGTTTCATGAGGCCTTGGACTTTGGAGAAGAACAGAGAATGTTACTGCATCAGTTATTCTTGGTAATGCTTTTAAATCTATTTCACTCTTGCAGAATTCAACCAACAAGAGTTGGTGATAGACCATCGACTGTTTTTATTTGGGGTAAAGCTTATGATTATACGATAGACTTCAATCATAATCAGAATCTTTCAGCAGTTTCCACCGCATAATTGCTTCCTTACTCAGCTGACAATGCCACCAATCTCCACCAAATCATGGTTGCAGCAAAGCAAAGTAATTGATTCATAGAAACAAAAAAATTAGGATATGCATTACGAGTTGACACTAGAATTATTACAAAGATCGTATATACAGGAGCATTTCTTGATAAAGTTACATGAAATTGTTACCACCCATTTCTCTTAACTCTACAATTCATGCCTGAACTCAATGTCTTGAACAATTGGAGCTCTAGCGTGAACAAATGGGTATGAATCATCATGTCCTGTGCAACTATACTGTAAAGGGATGTGCTTGCAACAGCACCAGATATCAAGTGAACTATCAGCAGATAATGTTAATATACAGTCAACATATTATTGCATTTGCAGCACAAATAGCTGAGAAATTTCTGTATATCCGAGAGCCATTGCTGTACTCTTCTATTGCACCTTTGAAAGAGTTCTGCCAGATACACCATGTAACAATTTGACAAACCCAAGAAAGCTTAGCTTCCCATCAGTGTGCCTTATCCAATCGACAAGTACAACATGAACAGGGATAGAAGGGCCAAGTCCAAGTTCCTAAAACAACAGTACGGAGAAAATAATATGGGTTAGCCATTTCTTTCTCTTTCTTCTCCTTTTGTTTTGTTTTTTTGTTTTGTTTTGTTTGGTTTGTTTTTTAAATGAGCTTAATACAAATTCGTGACTGCCTAGAAATAGATGGAGCACGATATCCTCTCAATGGAGTTTCAGCGATGAGGGGGGAAGAGGTAACAACACCAAGATTCAAATGTAAGATTTAGACATCCATTAGAAAAGATTCAATTCAGTGTCCTGAACTTACTGAAGCAAGTTCTTCAATGACAATAGCTCTGTTTCCATCTTTCTCAAAAATTTCATATGCACAGCGTGCATGTTGTTCCCAGCGATCAAGGGCTTCAAGCTGATACACACTTAATGCAGCCGCACAAAATTCTTCAAAACCCATTCTTCTATATTGTAATGAGTTTAGCTGTTATACAAGGAATATTCATGGATATGAGTCAGTAAGCAGTCAAAATCATGCTCCATCTACACGTATAGAGCAAGGTATTACCGAGGCCATAAAGTCAGAAATGTGGGACTCTTTCATGGCATCTGTTGCGTGTTTCCTCAGCGCCTGCCAAGACAAATATGCATGAGAAACTCTTGGTATTCAACAATACATCATGCCTTACGTGCTGATGTGACAGTGGATTATCCACTCACCATGCTGATGTTTTCTAATGTTATGCTGCCATTTTTGCTGGGCTCCAGCAGAGCAAATTGCTCCTTCAAATAATAGAGCTCATCAGCAGTCAATGTCTTTGACAACGCCTGGCAGAGAGGTCAATGGAAGACAACTAGTAAGATTAAATGTAACTAATACTTATAAATATCAATATAAGGTGCATAAATAACACATTAAGAAAGAGAATACATAATTGCCCCAATTGCATCTTGTTGCAGAGAGAGAGAGAGAGAGAAGAAAATCCCCAGTTTATTGGAGAAAAAATAAATATAACGTGAGTTCACTTTGTGGACTAAATTCCATGTTAAAAGCTATAGACAAATCTTTAGACATTAGATTGCAATTAAAAAGAATATTTGATTCCAACAGGAAGCAGTCTAAAAATAAACTCTACTTCTCGCTCAGTATCAAAATATACGCACCCTTAAAGAAGCCTTGCGCAAGGATGATGATCGCATATAGGCCTTCATGAGCTTAAATATTAAAATATCAAGAGGAACTTTTACATTGTTGAAATTCCTAATCCAAGGATGACCTGCAAATACAAGAATGTCGCTGGCAATTCAGAAAATGATCTTTCCAGAAGCCCAGAAGCTTATTAGATATTAGAAACGTCAGAAAACTCACTTAGAGCCTGGGCAGCTGATATTCGCTTCCTTGGGTCCTTATTCAACAGGCGCTTAACAAAATCTCTTGCTTCTGAAGATAAGGACGGCCAAGGAGGTTCATCAAAGCTTGGATCAGCTTTCAGAACAGCCCTAAATATACCAGACTCTGTTCGTGCCCAAAATGGACGACTACCACATAAGAGAATATAAGCTATCACGCCGATACTCCACACATCAGCTTCTGTACTGTAAGATCTATGTAGAACTTCAGGAGCCACATAGTATGCACTACCCACAATATCATTGAGCCTTTCATCTGAAAGCCATGGAAAAGAATCAAGCAAATGCCACAAATTCTCAAGGGTGATAAAAAACTAGTTAGTAGGGCTTTACAAAGGCAAACCTGGTTTGACAAAGTCTGATAATCCAAAGTCAATAGCTTTTAATTCAGCATTCTCATCCTTTGACACATACAAAAAATTCTGAGAAGTAAAACAGCAAGATGGTTATGTAATAAACTAAAAATCCACATTGAAATGCCAATATTCACTTACCCATTTTACTCATCAAATATTAGATGCGTGACAAATACAAGTAACAGGTATTTACATTAGAGCAGCTATTATGCACAATATTTTTCTATGATTTTCTTGGAAACTGTAACTAAACAATTTTTGCAAAATTCTGTTTACTTGAATGGTACTGCTCATAGATGTGCCATCTGAAAATTTCAAAATCCAGTCAGCTGAAAACAAGATGCAAGGCTATGACTCATTGACTATTGTTGCAGCAAAGCAAATATGGCATTTGTAACTCCATCCAATGTACACTGGTGCTTCAGTTAAACAAGAGAAAGTAAGATGTATTTGCTCACCTCTGGCTTAAGATCTCTGTGCACCACACCCTGAAGATGACAGAACGCAACAACATTCAATATTTGTATCAAGACAGCTTTTGCGTCATCTTCTGAGTATTTCCCACCTCTACAGAAGGATTAAACCATGTCAGTTAGGGAAAAGGTACATACCCAAAGATAAAAGTTTTTTTAACAAAAATTAGAGCTGATGTAATAAGACATAAGAATCACCTTGAAAGTATTCTATCTAACAGCTCGCCTCCTTCACATAACCTAAAATGCCAAAAGCACCCAATTCATGTCCAAAACTTGGAAAATTCTTAAGAAAACAGCAGAGTGAATTCAGGTTGATAGAATATTCAAAATTACCATAAAAGAAACTAAGACTCAAGATTATTGGGTTGTATTTGATGGAATACAGGTATATTATTAGTATCCCATCAAGTGCATCGAGAAGGGGAAAAAGCCTTCACTAAAATACCAGCAAACCTTTTACTGTGCTAAAATCTTGAAAGGACAGAAAATGTACCAAACTTACTCCATTACAATGTAGACATTATCTTGGTCTTCAAATGCATCATAGAATTGCACCAGATTATTGTGTCCAGTTAAGGCTCGTAATATTTCACCTCCCTTCTAACATCTTCAATTGCAATTGCCGTTGTCATCTGGCAACAAAAAAGGTGAAATCATAAGTGAGTTATAATACTATTCATGCCATATATGATTTAGATATCATGCTTTATTGAAAAGTGGTATGGACAGAAGTGGCATAAAGAAGTGCCAGATTAAAAAAACAGTTTTATTCATGAATACACAAGTTCAAATTAGCCCCAAAATGTAGGAATATTATTAATATTCACTTTTATTTTATCTTTATATTTTCTTAAAACATATTAATAAATTTATTCATCCCTATAGGTCCTCCCCAATTGCGTTTTAGTTCCAATCACTAAAAGGTTTGTAATCAAATCCTTATAGCTTTCAATAGCTATAACTTCCTTTTTGGTCAGCTTCGATAGTTGTCAGGCGTGGGGTGTGACAATCCGTCACAATTTCAATAATGGATTGTTTCAGGCAAACTCCTTAGATGACGAC